CCTCCAAATAAACCAATCCACCATCGATATATTCCCATCACTTGATGAGCTAATTCATGATTACTTACTGTTGCATAATTTGAAGCAACAACTCCATTAACAACAATTGTACCTGATGATGTTAATGGTGCATAGTATCCTTCTTGTTTTCTTGATTCAATATTTACAATTTCACCAGGTACAATTTCATTATTATCAATAAACTGAACTCGATCGCCAACATGAAATTTCCCAGCAAACAATGCTTTACCTGAATCAAAGTCAAAAACTAAATGATTTGGAGAAACAAATATTGTTGAAGATAAATTTGATTTGGTTGATTGTATTTGAATTGCTAAGAAACTAAAGAGACCATCTGATTTTGCATGAATGAATGATAAAATGGGTTCATAGATATTATGTTGATTGACAAGTACTTTATCACCGATTTGAATGTGAGATAGAGGTTTAGTGGTACCATCAGCAAGTGTGATTATACTAGAACCGGAAAAGCAGCTTGCTCGTTGTGCTGATAATGTACACGAGTATTGCATGCAGACGTCTGATGTAGCTGAAACACAGTTGCAAATTTGCTCATAGCCGATTATGTTTGTACTACCGTATTTATTAGTACTTCGACTTGCTTCATAATCTCTGATAGAAAGTATAATGAATACGTGAAGTAATGCTAACGTCATTGGATTATTTAAATGATAAAAACAGGATATATATCTGAAATAGTATTAGTAAATTCGGGAAAGTATTGAAAAACAATTACTTCAAATTTTTCGTATTTCAAACGTATTCCACATTGGCTTTATCCAATAAATGTAGTATTTTCAAAAAAAGATACAGATTAATTAGTATGCATTTACAACAGTGAACCAGAGAAAAATAGTGCATGATTCAGTTTTAGTATAAAGTAAAAAAGTAATTTGTGATATTGATTCATAAGTTTTACAGAGTCACTCATAAATTTATAAGAAACACCGACTTATTGTGAAATCATATTGTAAAATAGTTTACTGTATTCTATCATTTAAATTAGGAACTACAATACAGTTGCGAAGCACTAAAAATATTGTGCAAATTTATATACATTTAATGTGTTACTCCGTTTTTTTAAAAATACAGCCGTAAGACTTTTTCGATACTATTAACGAACAATATATATCCATCAACGACATTAGAAAAAAAAA